GGAAGTGATGGCAATGGCATCTTCCAAGGTGACCGAGGCTCCCTTCTCAACGTACTCCGCTCGAGCAGCCAAGTCCTGGACCGCCTTCGCTTCCGAATGGCCTTGGCACACCACTGAGAAGGGGGGGAGGCCTTCGCCCAAGGTGGTCCCTTGACCGTTCACGAAGTACTTGCGGAAGACACGATCCAGAATGTGTCCAGTGACCAAGGGTTTGTTCGCGAGGTTGATGGGTAGTGCCGAAGCCTGAGTGCGGTCGTCTAGTTGAGCTTGCAAGATCCCGTGTTCATTCCCTTTGGGGGACTTCGCGAGCAGACGGTGAATGACGGGAAGGTTTGCGTCATCGGCCACGTTGCAGAGGTTGCTTGTGGACACGAGTGGCTAGGGCGACCCCGAATTTATCCGTGAAGGTTTTGTTGCTCTTCTCATGGTCATACTGGAGTTGTTGTTCAACGGAGGCCTCCAGTGTATCACGTAGGTTCGTGATTCCCGTGTTGAAGGTTGCGTTGGTCAGGCCCGTACCTACCGCGCCAAGCGCCGCCATGTAGGGGGAGAGTACCCGGTTTGTGCTTCGTTGGAGCGCGTTTGCGCTGATGGGCGCGGCCATGTTAGCAGCAGCATTACTAGTGGACGTGTGACCTCCAGCGACCAATGTGCAACAGGCGCGGAACCATTGGACCAAAGGGGCGATGGCAGCCTGTCGCGCAGGATCCGCGTGAGTCATCTCGGGGGTAAGGACTTCCGCACGGAACTGGGGAAGACTGTACTGCCCTTCGGGACGGGCCACAAGGACGGCTTCAGAGAGATAGGACGGAAGAGGCATCACACGACGGACCCGGAAGACATCAGTGTCCACGACACCACCGCCGTGGGGGCCACTGTGTAGCACAGGAGCCGGCGCGGCGGCAAACATCGTTCCTCTGTCAATAATTGTCATGTTGTGGCAGGTTACGTCAGCCGTGCGCTCGAACGCTGACATGGGAAGGACCACCGTGATAGCGCTTCGAAGGTCGTTCCCCACCACGATAGCATAGAGATTGTCGTAAGGAGAGACCTGGCTAGGATTCACGGGGTAGGCGTAGAGTGAGTGTCCAATGTAGATATTCGTTTCGTCATTTTGGAGGACGAAGCCAAAGGTGACAGGTGAACAAAGGCAAAATTGGCTCATAGCGCTAGAGGCAACATCACGATTTGCATTCGAGGCGCCGCCCACAGAAGTGAGGATATCAGTGTAGTTTGGAGCATGTACCTCCCATGCCGCTGCACGAGAGACGAGATCTGAAAAATTAGAGCTGGCCATGGTGAGGGTCGAAAAGATACGAAACCTGATGCCGGCGCAAGAGATTAATCTAATCTAGGTTCTTGCCTTCAGCGTCGGCTGAATGAAGAATTGTGAGCTGAGAGAGAGACAACCTTCTTGCGATCGGCAGTTCAATGGCTGATCTTGGCTAGGTCGCTGGCTTTAGTGATTCATGGTTGCCGCTGTCGATCTTGCCAAATGTGGTCTTGGACGGGCGTCGTTGCCTTAAGGGTAATCTTGTTCGAGAGGCATTGAGGAGCTGATGCGGTGCATCATCATGTGGGGTATCCATTTCCGGAACACAGGTGATGACCTGCGAGATGTAGAGATGTCCTTGAGTTGTAGGTGAGGAGCGCGGGAATTAATTTTGCAATTTGTGAGATGGTCCTCTCGGCAACCATGATTAGGGTCATAGTTGCGAGAACCCATCAGGGTTCAAGTTTCCACGCTGCGGGGCGTGGAAACTCGGACGGGGGGTTCCCCAGGCGTGTTGCTGCTCAACACGTTTGATCTCATCTTCCAAAGAATTGTCCAGTTTCTGCCTTTTCTGTATCGGCTCCGCGGTAGTATCAGTGGACATGATGAGGGATATGTTCTGCAGCGTCCGCTACTTCATCGAACGTGCTATGAATGGTTGCCAGGAAGTATTACAATTGCTGGCTAATACGGTACGATTTGAGGATTGCTCCTTTGGCCGGAAGGCGGTTGTGGCAAATGATGTCGTTCTGCTACCAGCCAGAAGACCGGTTCCATTATTCAAGACAGGTTCCATGCTGGGTGGTCCCTGGAATACCGCGGAACAGTTCCATCAGCGGCGTGCCTTGAAGTACCGGTACCGGCGGTTGGTGCTTCCCTGGTCCACTGTATCTACTGTACCGGTACCCGTAGTACCAAACAGACAAGTGAAGAAAGCACAAAACAGCACCAGAACCAAAACAAGTCACCGCCCTCATTTTTTCTTGTCACACCTCCCTCCTCTAAAGTACATGTACTTTGTCACTCTCATGGTAACAATAAAAAGGTACTCGCCATGACTACACTGTCAATATTAACATGCCCGTCGCAGCGGTTCCATCTAGAAGTCCATTTTGTGGCCGTGTAGTTACTCAGTGGCTATTAAACTAGAGGTTACCGTTTTCTCTTGTTTTTTTGTCTTTCTGGCATCAGTGGCGGTGGTGTAAGCCATTTCCCAGGCCCCAACCCCCATTGCCTCTCACAATGGCACCATCCATGAAACCAAGAAGCCCAAGACATCCAAATCTACACCGGTAATACCAGACAAAAGGAAGAAATCAGTGGTGGATTTCCAAATTGAATTTGCCGTCTCAATCCACCATTCAACAAGACAATCGATGGAACGAAGATGGCGACTGCTACTACTATGGCGACAAGAACAAACAGTCGCTACTACTACTACTACTACTACAATGACAACAAGCCATGGGTTGTCGAAACCGAAAGTGATTCCGATGTCGGCAACAAGTCCCAACGTCCCACCACTCGCCAACCAGACAACGACATGCATCAACCATCAAGAGGCATAATCTAAAGCACCTTCTACTAGACTTTCTTTTAGTGGACACATAAGCCACTGGATAATTTTTTATCGAATGGGGCTTGATAGTAGAGCTGTCAATCCACAATGAAACTCCATGGCTTTCATCTTTGTCTGCCAACAGGAAAAACAGCGCAGGAATAACACGTGGTGGCACTCAGGTCAAAAGATTTTGAGGGGAACCTGAAGAGGACTTAATCAACCAAACAATATCTTAAAAGCGAAAACAAAACTGGTTCCGTAGTAATCAGTCTTCTGGGTGGTACCGGTAGCCTGTTGCCCTGTTGCGCTGATGGCCGCTGAGTCACGAGGCCTGAGTAGATCGGGACTCAGCAAGATCCTTTGTGGAGCCACACAACCACAACCACAAGAACAACCAACAACGTTTGACGTCCATGAAGTAGTGTTGTGTGCGCCGTTTGTTACAATAGCAGGACAATCATCTGATTTCTCTTGTCTCGTCTCGTCTTATTGTATATCAGAGCAACGATGTGGAGTGGTAGTGGGCCTCCGGGCATGTACGGGTCTTCGGCTCCAGCAGGTGAGTTTGATAGCTCGGTACCATAGAGGAAGAGGTCTGACCATACAGTATATTTCCTAACACGACGGCTCTTTGTTCACTTCTTTCTATATAAATTCAGCCCAACAACAGAGTCAACAAAAGCATGATATTTTCGTGGGCAACCTTGCCTTTCATACAACCGAAGATCAGTTGCATCAAGCATTTTCGGAGATTGGCCGTGTCATCAAGGTTCGTTTGGTGACCGATTCCGATACGGGCAAACCACGAGGCTTTGCCTTTGTGGAATTTGAAGATCCACAGGCTGCTTTGAGTGCGATTCGCAACATGAATGACTACGAGTTGAATGGAAGACGACTCCGTGTCAATTTCAGTAACAGTTCTCACTTGGAAGCTTTGGCGGGGAAACTGGGCATGGACTTGTCGCAGCAAACGGCGCAACGCAATCAATCCAATCGTAACAATGATAATCAACAACAATCCTCTGGAGCTGGCACACAACAAGTATCCGATGCGCTCAAGGGAATGTCCAAGGGAGAAATGTACGACGTCGTGGCCAAACTCAAAGAAATTGCCGACCGAGATCAAGATGAAGCACGACGCATCATTGCCGGACATCCACAATTGCCCGAGGCCATTTTGTTCCTCATGAGCAAACTCGACATGGTCCGGGACAACCCAACTCCCATGGCCGTCGTGCATCCACCCGCCGCAGCTGCTCCTCCCCAACGAGCCATGGATCCGCGAGCACGAGTATCCGATCCTAGAGCCGCCAAACCAGCCGCGGCAGCGCCACCACCCCCTCGTGCCGATCCCCGGGCTCGATTGGATCCTCGGGCGCGAGCTGCGGCGGGACAACCTCCTCCACCCATGATGGCACAACCACCGCCACCGCCTCAACCGTACAACATGCCACCACCTCCCGGTGGGGGAGTTGCCAATTTGGATCCGTCATTGGTCCAGCAAGTCATGTCGTTGACGCCTCATCAAATTTCACAGTTGCCACCCGATAAACAACAGAGTATTCTCGCGTTGAGACAGCAAATCTCGGGAGGGAGATAAACAGATTGATAGAGCGATGATGTGCTGTTTCTTAATGAAATTAATTGGACGCATAAAATATGAAAGTGTTATGACCTTACTAGTAGTAGGGATGAACGAATCGAATCATTCAATCGATATTTCAATCCTTGATGGAGTGCTGGTCAGGCTGAAGTGTTGGGGAAACAGTATATCGTAAAAGGGTGATTGTCACTGTCAATCTAGCTGGCTACGGTAGCCAGGTAAAACGTGGAACAACTCAGCTCTGCAATGGATCTGCACCTCGGCAACTGCAACTCCTTCGTGTACCGGTACCGAGGGTAGACTGTCCAAGTTGCACTACGTCAAACAAATCGATTCCTTCCCCAGCAGCATGGTGCACAAAGGCCTCTTAATTTGCTGCAAAATCTAAAATGCGTGCCAAGCATGTAGCTCGCGCTTTCGTCGTGTTTCAGTTTCGTCAGAAAACTGAGAAAGCGCTGCTTGTTCCGTTTTGCTTCTCCTCGTTGGATAGCGCTCCACCGTGTACTGTACTCACAGCCATAGCTCCCTTGGGAGGCTCCATGGCCAATGCCGTCCCAAATTCTGCCAGTGTTTGAACTGTGCCGGTTCCTTTCGGACCGTGCGTGCCAAAGTTGTCATTTGTGAGACCAGCCAATCCGTTTTCCGTGATGGAAACGAGAAGTCACCCATGGCCAGGAGATGCATTGACCCGCGATTAGGTTGGGGGCTTTGGGGGCCACGCAATGGTCGATTGCATCGCGCCCAATGGTCGTTCTAAAGCCAGGTCCGAAAAGACTTCTATACAAATCTCGTCGCTCCAGCAATCGCACTCTTTCGCCTTGTTTGGTGATTGGGAAGAAGAACAAACTTCTGTCCTCTTCTTGATCTAGCCGAATCTAATCAATCAAGATAGGTGAAAGGTGTCCTGATGATACGGTAGTTAGGACGATTACGAGCTGAGCAGTTGTTTGCCAACTAAACAGGAGGAGGATGACGGAGAAAAGTCTCTGCTCAGATAATGCGGCAATTATCTTTCTCATCTCCACTTTGCCCATCCTCTCTCTCATCAACCAAATATGTGTAGCGAGCCCAACTAACCAACTCAAGAAAAGGACCAGTTCCCATAGCCCATACCGGTAGAAGCAAAATGGTGCACAACCTGTTGAGCATCCTCGTTCATTCCACACTCCTCCATCCATAAGGCGAGCGCATATGATTCGTGTGGTGGAAGTGTGGAAGCAATGGGCCTGACAAAAAAGAAAGTCCCAACAGAACGAAGATCAAAGAGACCTTATGCAATGGGAAAAGTGAGCTTTCCACGCTCCTGCCTCAATTATCCACGCTATGGATCGTGGACCTGTCCCCCGGCGGGTGCGACCAAAATTTTCACCCTCAACTCGTCGACACGCGAGATTTCAAAACGGCCACGATCGATTGACAATGCCACTATTATTGCATGCACATCTCGCTCATCACCAAGGATCAATAGCCCAGCTCTCTCAGTGCCAATATTGATCCATAAATACGACAACCATGGGCACTCCTGCCGCTCTACAACGTCCCAAGATCAAAGACTTGAAGAAGTCCAGCAAGACCAAGAAGGAGACGAGGAGACGGTCTACCAAGTCATTCAAAGTCAAAGCCGAACTGGTTCCGCCACCGGTCATTACGGACGAGATGTCTCTGGTCAGCGATCATCAACAACAGCATCGACGACAACAACAACAAACTCCGCGAGCATTGTTAAAGCCCAGTCTGTCCACTACCGTGGAATCGGATACTAGCTCCGATTGTAACGAAACTCCCTTCAAACGACCCACTCATGATCGCTACATTCGAGGAGGAGGGTATCATTCCCACGTGTACAAGACGTACGAGCAACGGTGGAGTCCAGCTCATGTGGACAATGTCATTCAATCATGGGACATGACTCCCGCACAACGCGACAAATTGATGGATTTGAAGGAACGCCTCCGTGATTTGGACCATGCCATTCTCAATGATCCCCATCAATGTGTCTATTTTCTGATTGACGAAAGTGGCAATGTCGATTTGGCCGAGAAATTTCTGCGCAAAACAGCCAAAGCACGCAGTACATCTCCCTACCAATTTGATACCATCGTGACGGACTATGAATTACCCGATGATTACGACTACTTTCCCATGTGTATCCTGCAAGGGATGGACCGCGAGGGGGCACCCATTTCCATCACTCGGACGGGTGCCGCCGATTGTTGGGGTCTATATCGACGCCATGGCAAAGAGACATTGATTCGACATGCCATTTACAATATGGAATTGAATCTCCGTGGGATTTGGCAAGACGAGTTTGAAACCAACTATAAACGCAAGGCGACGCAATTCACCGTCATTTACGATCTCCAGGGATTGTCCATGCGGCACATGAGACCAGGATTGATTCCAACGTTGGGGACTATTTCGCGGTTGTTGCAAGATACCTATCCGGAGCTTATCAAGGTAAGAATCATGCATCTGTGTCACTTTCTATTGCTCTTTGGTTTTCTCTCTGGTTCAACTCATTCTTTGCTTTGCTCGATTATTTATTCAGCGAGTCTTGATTGTCCGAGCACCATCCATTTTCAAAACCATTTGGGGGATTGTCAAACACATGTTTGACAAGGAACTCCGTGATCTCATGATCTTTGCCACGGAAGGAGATGATTCCAATCAGTTGTTAGAGCGATTCATTGACGTCAATGTCTTGCCGAGTTGCATCCATGCGGAGGGTGCCGATGGTCGAGTGGCGCGTGGTTTTGAGCATGTCGTCATGGAAGGTGGGTTGATCCCCGACGAAGGAACTTACCAAACACCTGATTACGTTAAATTGGGGCGGACCAAGGCGGAAGAGGAAGACTATCAAACCCGAGAAAGATTGCGCAACAGTTCACGTGTCATGATCCAACCGAAACAGTGTAAGGCAGTGTGCAAAGGCAGTTTCGAATTGGCATTTCTGGCCGGCAATCAATGCAAGGCCAAGATACAGTTGGACCCTTGATGAATGCAATGTGGTTTACAAGAGACTTCAGGGTTCTACTGTAAGAAGATAATTTGTATCTTCTGTTACTGTGGCTATAATGAATGAAAGATAGTACAAGATCAATCTAGCTAGAAACAATTACAACCTTTGTCTTCACTGGCTTCAGTCTTGATACGGTAGGTCAGTCAAGGGATGTCAGCAACTCTTTGGTTCACTTCGAAGACCCAACATGTAGTAGAGAGCTTTTTAATGGCCGGTGAAAGCTGCTGGCTACAACATCGAGCCATCTTTACATGTCCGTCAGCCAAGTTCCGGGTCGTGCTCACGCCACTACCCCACTACATGTAATACCAAGGTAAAATTAGCGTGCTTTCTATTATTGATGACTCAATTACAGCTCTTACTCTATTCAGACTTTTTATTATCTGTCACGACAGCCAACTTCTTGAGTGCCTCGGTCGATGTCATGGCAATCGGAAAGTACTTGTCCGCGTCCACATCGGCTCCATCCAGACAGTCCTTGCTGGGATTGATTCGAATCAGCCCGTACCGACTCTGCTCTCCGTATCGTTCGGCCATGTGTCGAATCGAAGGAACCACCAATCCTGCTCCAATTTCCAACACGATAAAATTGTCGTCCCGTTCCAACAGAAAACTACGACGGTTCCCGCTTTGCTTCCCCAACACATCGTCCACCAAGGCATGGTCGCCAAAGATCATCACGTTGGGTCGCAGACACTGCGAACACTGGTGGCATCGGGGGACTTGCCAAGAATCGTCGTTTTGGAGTTGTTTCACAAACGTGTCGTCGACGGGATACAAGGCATTGTGACAGGGTTTGGAGCATTGAACCCGCGAGAGGGAGCCGTGTATTTCGCTAATTTGATCGCTTGAAACTCCTCCTACCTCATGCAATCCATCGCAATTGGACGTGACAACAAATGCATTCCGTTTTCCAAAATAGTCAATGAGGCTGCCGAGCACTTGATAATCTTGTCCCGGTGTAACTCGCGCTCGCAAAATGCGCCACCTCCAGTAATTCCATGCGGGTCGTTCGGTGGCAGGTTGAAACATTTCCGGGACACTAAAATCAAACCAATCGTCGGCTGGATCCAGCTCGTTGGCTGTTCTGGCTTGATTGTAGCCGTCCAAAAAGTCGAGGAATTCCCGAGACATGGATCCATCGGCATTTCGAAAGACGGGAACACCGGATGAGACGGACATGCCGGCACCCGTTAGAATGAGTAGCCCGGCCCCTTTTTCCTTGGCATTTTCCAGTGCCTCTTTGGCTTTGTCGAGTAGTAGAACAGTTTCGTTGGTTGTCGATTGTTGCTCCGTCATGGCAAAGGATACTATGGTGAAGGAAGAAACATGGAGGTGAGTGAGCATGCATGCCTGGATACCCCTTGCTTGCGACACACAAAATTGAGTCTGTAGGCAGATGGCCATCATCAGGATAAACGTCAGATCATCGACACACCCGCATTTAGCGGGAAGTCTAGCATAAGAGGTGTCAGATTTGCGTATGGTTGTATCATCTCTTGATGGCATTGGTAGCAAACTCGAGCTTGCTTGGTAGCGTCGTGGTGTTAGAGTTTGAGTCACTCACTTACTTTTGGTTGGTCAATCTCTCATCAAACTTCCTTCCTGCCAAAGCAAAAGAGGAACGAGATGCAACATGGTGCGTGAGTAAATGGGCCGCGAAACTGACTGGATGACACAAGCAAGCAGCCGCAGTAGTTTTTGTGTGGCTTGTGTGTGTTTTTATTTTTTTGTCAGGTAGTTAGTTGTAGACCCAGTTGATATCATATTATTGCCGTCCAGCAAGTATGACATTCCCACCGAGTATCCCCTTTTGGAATCCTCTTATGCAGAAATACCTCCTTGACATTCCGACGGCAATTGAGTCAAAAGACCGTCGTGAAATGGTGGGTGTATACTGTCATCATTAAAAAAATAAAACTCGTGTACAAAACGACTCTGCTCAATCAATCAAATAGACAATCAACCGTACCTGATGCTTTGCTGGCCCTCTTTGCACGCCAAGCAACGGCTTCTGGGTATTACAGTATTCAATGGCACCATGGTTGTCTTTTTTCGTTTTGTGTGCTCGAGACGTGCTATTCGGCGCTTGGAATTGTTTGGGTGGCCGACAAAGATTCAATTGGGAGACGGACAGACAAAGATTTTAAAAATTTGATAGCTTCATTAGGGTTCAGGCTCTTTTCTGCCATTAGCAACATCACAACATCACATTCGGAACTCTTTCTCGTGGCCTCCTCCATGGCATTCATCACACATCTTTCGACGTTGTCTTGCTAGCTAGCTAGTTCGTGCCTTTGTATGTTTGACAACAGCACCATAGCTAGTCTATCTAGGCCAGTCCAACCGAACAACCCAACAAAATGTTGTCAAGAATATTGCTCTTTCTTGTATTACTGATTTCATCTGCCGTTTCTTCTTCTTTGCTGCCAGTATCCACTACCAGTTCGATTTCTATACTATCCAGCAAAACCATGGCGTCTTCCTCTAGTAGTACTAGCACTAGTAACAGCAACGGCAGCAAATCCAAGTACGAAGCCAAGCTGCGCTACAATGTCGATCGCTTTGCCAAGATTTTGTCGGATGAACCGCAAGATTCGTCACTCGTACAATGGCTCCAAGAATCCTACGGAGTGGACAAGACGAACCAGTTGGCGCAGTTATCATCATTATCACCATCATCCGTCCAAGAACAAAAGACACTCCTTCGAGACTTTTTGGAATGGTTCCGTACCCAGTTTCCCTACTATCGAGACACGTGCAATCACTGTGGAGCGAAAGGATGTCAATTTCGCGGCAATCACCCTCCCACGTTGGACGAACAAACGCCATCACCCAATACTACTACTACTACCGCCACAATAATCATTGACACGACCGAAGTTTCCTATTGTCCTCACTGTCAGCAACTGACACGATTTCCACGCTACTTGTCCGCCATGGAAATTGTGAAACGACAACGGGGTCGATGCAGTGAATATTCGCTCTTGCTCTATCGCATTCTGGTGGGTGTATTGGGATTGCCGGCACGATGGATTGTCGATTGGGCCAATCACGTTTGGGCTGAAGTCTGGATTCACGAGAAATGGGTGCATTTGGATCCCTGTGAGGCATCCGTCGATCAACCCTTGCTCTATCAAGGATGGGGCAAGAAACAAACCTACATTGTAGCATTTCAACAAAGAGGACCAGATCCATCATCATCATCATCTGTCACGAATGGAAACAAGAAGAATGATACGGCACACTGTCCAAGTAGTGTTGTCGATGTCACCAAAGATTACACCTCGGACAGTTGGGAAACCATACAAGAGAGACGAGCACAAGATGGAGTCACTCAAGAAGAGATTGCGGCTGCTTTGGATCGGGCCAATGCGGACCTTCAACAGATGACGCCCTCAGACATTATTGCTACCTATAGTACTAGTAGAACTAACTAATTGGTTAGAACCGGCTAGCAAGAAAACAATCGCACAATAGTGCTGTTACGGTATTGCGTTGCATGTGTTTGTTCGTTGCGTGTGTGTTCATTCATCATTTCAGTTGTTTCAAATCCGCCAAGAGTTGTTGTGGATTCTTGGGATCCAACCAGACTGCCCGAACTCCATTGTCCCTGGCGATTCGTATATTGTTCTTGTCATCGTCAATCAAAACGGTGCTGGCCTTGTGAATTTCCAACCCGGGTACTAAAAATTCCAATTCTTCCACGGCACTGACCATGTGTGGCTGTTTCCCCTCGAGATCGTCCGTGTCCAAACCAAATTCATCTTCTTTCCACCATTCTTCTTCTCGCGACGATACGGCACTGGGTGTCTTCCAGGAGCCATCTTCGGCGCGAATGGGCAGCAGGACTGCTTTTTTCTTTTTGTTCTTGGAAAGGATGAAATCCACCACGGACCGGACCATTGCGGGTTGACTGGAAAAAGTCACAATGGCACAGTACATGTCGGGTCGCGCCACCAGACGTGGCAACAGTGCTGCCACGGACGGACGGACATGTTGGCACAATTCCTTGACGCTGCCGCCCCAGTGGCCACCCGTATGAATCGACAATATCGTGTGGTCAAAGTCAAACGCCACAAAGTTGATCTTCAAATCTTGCTGCAGGTGAGCAATCACTTGATCTACTAGTACATGTATGCCATCGCTACTGGTGTCTTGTGGCTCATGATGTTGTTGTTGCTCAGTGGACATGGTCTTTTTTTACTTCTCTCACTGCGTTCAGCACAGACAACAGAAGAGGATGTTGATTGGGATTTGGTAATCGCGAAAGCTTCAGCGATAAAGATATAAGCCGGTGAGTCGAGTAAGTGACAAGTCTTCCGAAGTAAGGACTAGCATCAGGGAAAACGCTAAATTTCCATCGCTCTTCTACGTGTACTGGTACGTTTGCAATTCCGTACGGTACCGCAGTGACTTGGGTCCGAAAACCACTATTCTCTGTCAAGGAGGATTATTAATTAAGTAGATACTTTCTATCGAAGCCTGAAAGCAATCGGCTGAACATCAAGAGCAACCTATTTGCTGCTTCGCAAGGCACGCCTCTCGGCAGCGTTGCCGGAAAGAAGAAGACACTTGGAAGGAGCCAAGACCATGGTATCATCGTAGTTGTGGAAAAGGCGATCTTCATCTTCACGAACTTGCCACTCTTGGGCAAACTCATTGATATCTTGAATCAGAGTCTCGCCATCACGGCCCACACGGAGACCATTGAGAGCATGAGATCCCAACAGTCCAGTGGAACCTTCGTAGTTCTTGCTGCCCTTTCCGCCCTTTCGCTCCATATCCAGATGAACAAAGTCGTGGGCACGGTTGGCCTTGAAGACAAGCTTTTCGATGTATCCATCCACGTAAATGACGGCCTCACGGTCATCCCCATCTTCTCTCAAGCGAACCACCAATCCATCAATCGAAGAAAGGTACCATTCACCATCCTCAAGGTCTTCATTGGGCACTCCATTGACCCAGATCCATTCCTTGCCCTGTCCTCCAGCAACCTCCAGAACCTGGTCACCGATTCTGACTGCAGCTTGGGTCACACCAGATGCAGAACCGTGGATTTGGGTACGAATGTCAATGCGCATGCCCAATTCGCGCTTGAACGAAGGATCATTCAACAAGATCAGGTCGCATTCACCATTGTAGTCAAAGAGCTCATCTCCAAACGTCTTGAAGTTGTGATTCTCTCCGGTGCCAAAGACCATGGTTGTCTCAACCGTTGGTCCTTCTTCAGGCAACAGTTCCGAGGAAGGAATGAGGTCACCGATAGCATCATGGGCATCAGCAGCTGCAGTGGCCAACAAAAGGGGAAGAGCGAGGGAATAAAAACGAACCATCTTGATGTAGCTTTGTGCTGATTTGAAGTTGTTGTTTTGTGGGAGAAATTGAAATTGTGAGCTTTTCAAATATTTCGTTTCTTCTTCTCGGAGGATGTTGCAACGATCTGGCCTCCAAGCTCGAATTCGTACGGACTGGCTCGGCGGTGACTGAGCACCAGTCGAGTCCAAACTGCATACGATACGCATCTGATCTCCGTAATAAGTACCATGCATTCTCTACTGCGATGGCAGCATGGTAGCTGATGGTACCTATGTACCTATCACCTATGTGCCAGTTTCCTGGTCATTAGAAGCTGTCGTTATGCATGATGTAATTGTCATGTTCGTGAGTTAGCTGTTGAGCTGCTGTTGATACTGTATACATGTACGGGTACAGTAGATGGTATACGTAGAAGTTTGCCAGCTTTTTATAACCACCACAACATGTCCCGTACTGTACCATACTGTAGTACCATACAGATCCATACTGTAGCGTACCACTGGACAGCACAGCTACCGGCTATGGGCCATGGTACTTTAGCTCAGGCACTTCACCGCAGTGCTTTCTTTAAGCATCTCTTTCGGACTTAAACTCGTGGTTCTTGTATATATTGGGATCTTACTTCATGGAGTCATGGAGACATGGAGACATTGTCATCAACAGAATCAGGGGCATTCGAAAATCTTTCTGAACACGGGCACTGTGTTCGGTGTTCGGTGGGATGAACGTTGAAACTTTTGTTATAGGTTTGGTTGTTCTTGCTGCCTTGAAAGTCTCCATTGTGGGCGGCAACAAATTCCACAATGACTGCTTTTGTGTTGTTGCGAGTCTGCCAGAAAAAGGATCAAAGGATCCAATATCCAATCAGAGCTGGGCTGGCTGCCGATATGCATAGCTAGTAGTCAACAATTATATGCACTGGCAACAAGAAATTCCATAATGACTGGTTGCTGCCAGTCTGCCAGTAAAAAGGATCCAATCGGAGCTAAGCTGCGGTATGCATTTAAAAAATCAACAATGATTGCACTGGCAACAAGAAATTCCACAATGACTGCTTTTGTTGCTGCCAGTCTGCCAGTATGTAGCATAGTAGGATCCAATCGTAAAGAAGATGCCCTCACTTCTAAAGTCTAGCTAGAAGGCAAAACTTCATGAGTACCTTTTCAAGCAAAAATGACGATCAGCCAGCCAGCCAGCCAGCTCCATCCCGAGCCTTCTTGGCTCCCGGCTGCTTTCATACTGAACCTGCTACCATTTGTAACTTCTGCAATTTCTTTTCATTCCAACTGTAGACCGAGCCTCTTCTTCGTTGTTTCTGTAGCTGTTTCTGCTGCTGATTAGAGCCAGATCTTGCCTCTGTTTCTATCGGCTACCGGTGTAGGGCATGGCTGCAAATGGGCAGACAGCTGAATTGAAGCTCTCACTTTGGCTCTGACTGTCTAACCAGCTCAGCGGGCTGCAAACGAATCGAATCTTTTTGGTGGTGGTGACTCAGTGGTGACTTACTTGACAAGACTCAGATCGCTCCGTTGGAAGATCGGAAGGCAACTCACAACCAACAACCTTCACCAGTAACATCATCCTTGTTTTTTGTTTATGCCACAATGACATCCTTTTTGTGGATGCTTCTGCTATGGTTGTCACTTTCAAAGTGCGCTGAATCATTCTACCCTCAGTGGAAGACGTCCCATCCTGAGTTGCCTCGTTTTGGATCACTCAATACTAATAAACAGAAGCTGGCAACCACTTCAAGTTTACGGGTGTTACTACCCACCAACGTGGAGTTTTTGGCGGATGAACGGTACGAGACAGAGACAGCCTACCGGTCCATTCAATGGATGGATCCTGCTCGAGGATCCAATAATGGCGACAAAAATGATAATGATGACGTCTACAACTTGGAGGAGGAGGCGATTCCCATCTACCCCATTCCGGCCGTATATTTGCCCTACACCCATCACACGCTAAACAACGTGGAACCCCGCAATCTCCAAATGGCATTGGATCTCAATCAAACCGACAGCAACAAATTATTTTGTGTCACACTCCGAGCCACCGACACGGGACGCATTTCCCGAAAAGCAACCTTGCTGCGCATGATCGACATGGAGCCGACTTTTCGACAGGATAGTGCACGAGAACCAGTTCTGTCTCGAATCACTGTATCTTGCGAGGCCGTGGGCATTGTGGATATTGTCAGTATTGAAAATCCTCAGGCGGCCAGTCCACTGGCACGATTGCAACGAACCGACGAGTATCTTCGAGGACGGGTGGTTCCTGTCACGGAGAAGAATGACGAAACAGACGTCTTATTGACAACAATACAACAAAGTGTAGAGACCGACTTGGCACTCATTAAATCCATGTACCAACGAGGGATTGGTTCACGGGGCACTCTATCCGTCACAGCCCTACAGGAGTTGGCCCATGCCATTCCAATCAGCGACAAGAAGACGACTGTCTGGCAGGTGGCACAGCTGTGGCAGTCGGTATGCGACACGGTCCGCGTGGGACGACAATTTACTCTTGGCGGAGATCGAAATGAATTTTTGGTCGATGCGGCGTGTCGCAAGGGAGGACCTCTCAAGCTGCCCGTGCACCCGGAAGAATTGGAACCTGCCGATCGAACGCAGTTGGCACAGTGGGAAACCGCCGTGCAACGAGCATTTCATGATACCATTCAGCTGGATCCTTGTTTGGACTTTTTGCCCCTTTTGGGAATGGAATCGGACAAGGACCGGTGGCAGTGGTTGGCCAAACTGATTTCCAGAGAACGACAAAGACTGGAACGTGCTGCAGATGCAGACTTTGACGACGAGGTACCATCACTGCGACCTTCTCGCGTGGCCATGGAAGAGCCTGTCCGAAAAGGGGCTTGGTTTGATGACGGAGTGTGGTAAAAAGTACGAGAGTATGAGAATAATATGTATTGACATAGAATAGATGCTCTTATTACAACAGCGGGCATTTGCACCTTTGATGCGTAGGTATGGTATCCTGGGTGAATTCAATCGTGATGCCCTTGGTGAGTTCATTACGAGGTCTTGCTGGCATCATCAAAGAATTTGCTCGCTTCTCTGTTATTAGCAGACAGCAATGCTTTCAATCTGGTCGATTCAATTTCGGAACTTGTGGCACTTGTGGAAAAGCACGACGAATGCTGACCTTTCTAATTGAGTTGTACTTTGTCGTCCCCTTCTGGTTGAGGCGGCCGCAAAGAAAATATGTATGAACATAGCAGTTGGACTTGCCATGCTGCCATATAAATAAATCATGACGTGAACTCAATCTCAATGCCAATCAGCATAGAGGGATCCTCGTCAGACTCGCCTTCGCCTCCTCTGCAACGAGATGGTACTGGACGACCTTGTGGTGACGCTTCCGAAAAAGATAGATCTTCTGTTGCCGCGACAGAACCCATTGGCACCCTGGCGTACTTGAAAGCTCCCGCAGCCGTCAACAACACGCCTGGTACTGACACGGACAGCAGAGCATATTCCAGTGCCTGGCCTTTTAGTAGGTCTTGCACTGGCTCGGGAAGACTCGTTTGAATCATGAGAATCAGCTGGGCGATCCACCAAGACCCAAGATACGGCCCGACGGCTCGAAAGAACCGCCATCGTTCTTCTTTGGGAATCTCTTGTTGAAACAGAATCTTGAGTGCCACGCTCATACAGAACGAGTTGATCAAGTCGATCCAGCCCAACATGTAGCTGTTGTGGTGGTGGTGGTTGTGATGTTCTTCTTCTGGATGGTGGTAGGACGACGAGTCACAGTGCAAGGAGAATAATGAGTTCTCTACCACTGCTGTGCTACTGTTGCCGTTCATTTTGGCGATAGGAGGGATCTCATAAAGAAGAAGTCAAGTACGACTGTGGCCTTCAAGAAGAAATGACACAACATACCGGTACATACATCCGTCGCGCACAACTCAACGACAAAGCAAAAGAAGTGACATGGTCTCGTCTTTGGTGAAGGATTCGGTCCTGTGAGTACTTTCACCGGATCACTACAGTCTTCGTGGAACAGTACGCTGCTCCTGGTACTAGAGCTAATACCGGTACATTTACCGGTACAATGTGCTGGTATGTATGGTATCTCAATCAAGAACCAAAGCGAAGGCAGCTTCTGGTCGGAGGGATGAAGTGACGAGTGAGTCGAGTCGAGTCACAGTCGATTTTAATAAAAGATTCGAGTGTAAGAGAGCTTTGTACGGTAGAGCTAAGGCTACCGTACACAGCAGTCCTCTCCCCGTACCGGTCCAGCACCCATTCACAGCCATTCATGCATTAGTCTTTCTCTAGAAGTGTGCAGCCAACCTGTCAAAGCACTCTTTTCCAGCACCCATTCACATGCATTAGTCTTTCTCTAGCTGAGGCTATTTTGGAATAATTTATGAACGCATTCTCAAGTTTTTCCTAATAGTAGAAGTGAGAAATCCTAGCTAGGCGAGTCTCACAATCCACTTATGTTCGGCAAAGGCGTACCGGTACAGGTTGTAGACGTTGGCAGAGCTCTTCAGTGACACTGAAATCTTCTGGCTCGGGTGAAAGAGTCATGGAACAGTGCCCAAAGCGTGGTCTAGATGACCAAGTGGCAGCGGAAAGAGATGACATTGGAGATGAAACAATCATAACCTGAAGAAACGAAGAGAATTGCGACCACCACAGCAACGTCCTTCACAAGATACCGGTAGATCATCAGATAGATCATACCAATCTTTTTTTTTTCATCAGCAGGCTGCTTGGTCCCACTGCTAAGCCTCAACCTGAAACTTGCTATGCTGTTCTTGCAAAGATTCAACTGGCGGAGGACGGTAGCTGCCAGATTCTTGCTGCGCTTTCTTCTTTGCCAGACAACCGACCGCAATCCACCACAATGCCCACCCTCTCTATCACATTTCCCTTTGGTTCGGTGGATTGTTGTATCACTCCATGGTATGAAAACATGGTTCAAGATGAGCAACCGACATCGCTTGGGTGGTCTCTTCGCAGATCCGCTGAGCTTGGCTAAATTGGAGCATCTAGCGTTCGGAACTGGAGGACGATTTGATCAATCTCTCTGTAGTCATATTGAGTGAGCAAGACGCGAAGAATCTTGGCTTTGTCATCCGTGTTTGTTGCCTGCGCGTCAATGCAACTGACTCGAGAATCCGCAAAACAATCGGGCCCAGTAATAAATGTTTTGTTCGGCACAAACCCCAACTTTCGCGCAAACATGAGCTCGCAGACGCACCAAATACGAGAGAAGAGATCTGTCGCAGAGTTTCGAACGACCACAAACTTTTTGGAAGCCTTCAAAGCCATGACAAAGGGACAATTTGTCAGACAGCCATCTTCTGTCCCAACCTGGTCTCTGACGTATTTCATATCGCCTTGTTGAAGGGCAAATGCGCAAATCCATAGGTTCGGTTTGACGAGCCAAGTCTGGAAGGTCTTGCGGATGGATTCTACAAACTCATCAAATGGTTCGTTCCAACAATGGCTTATGAAGGCAGTCACCGGCAACCCGCGTGGGTTTTGTTGAAGTGCGTACGACTTGCCCTTTTCCATGCAGAGAGGGGCAATGTAATAGTGGTTGACATCGTGCATTGTTGCGTTTGGATATGCTTCCCCAAAGGCGCTCTTGAAATCCAGCTGTACTGCCAATAACTGTTGGTAGGAAATGGCCCACAAACTGGGATCTTCATCGGCAATGGATACTGGATTCCATTTTTGACTCTCCGACGTCATCACGGAAGGTTCTCGGCTGTCGGAACACATACTCCAACCACTCCCTGCGGTTCCACTTTTGCTATCTGGTGCTGATATATTTTCAAACGTCGAACCACTCTTGTTGTCGTCATCGTCCAGCAGCGAATCATTGATGAGAGTCCCCAAACTCAGCACTTCCATGTCCCCGTCCTCATCAATGGTGGATGCCACCGATGATGCTGTGTCATCTCGGATCCCTCGTATTATTTGCTCGGGAATCACAGGTTTTTTCGTGGCAGAAGCAGTATCCAAGAGAGGCTGTTCTGTAGCAGGACCATTTACAGTTGGATGCGAAGCAGTAGGTATCCCTGTTGTTGTTTTTGTGGATGTTGTTGGAGGCCTCTCTGGCTCCCAAATTTCTCGATCCAAACTGCTCAGCCATAAATCTTGTGCATCTTCAATTGTAGGTGCTATGGTAAGACTCTCCTTCCAGATATCCCGAATGGGAATAATATCTCTATCGTCGGTTGTCGTGTACGCTTCGAGTCTATTCTTTGGCTTGACGACGTTGGCTTGAGAAAAGCGCTGATGATGGGCACGCCTTGTTCTTGTCGGTGCTACCGGAGCACTGATTCTTGGATTACGCCGTTCCCATGCTTGTACGACCATGGCAGGAAGTTCCGTGGGATTGCATTTGATACAAAGACCCTTGTACACATGGTCATTTGTGAGAGGTGCCTTTTTAAAGACGGAAATCGTATGCGTCTTGACACCGCACTGGACACACAGCCCTTTACGCTTGGCTATGGCGGCTCGCTCTTCTTGTGTCAACGCCGTTCCATTCTTGGCAAAGTTTGGAATCACATCGTTGCTACCAAATCGATGTTGTTGTTGTTGCTGTTGCTTCTTGGGGACGACGGGTTTTTCAATAACTGTGTTGATACCAACTTTGTTTCCATGAATCCTGGAATCATTATTATCCACTTGAACGGTCGAGGCATCAGAAGTTATGGACATCTCCTCCGATCCAACATTCTTTGGACCCATCGTCGCAACTGGCAGCATGCTAGAGCCACTTTCCATCCTCCCCTACTGAACGTGGCGTTACGCGATGTCTCGTGTGTTCACACTTGTCTCTTTGCTACTTCACAGGGTTCAGGCCTTCCTTCGGAAACGTTACAGTAGAGGCTGATATGCAAGGACCCCTCTCCATAGCAAGCGGACTACCGTGACTACTAACTCTAGCTAGCTAATACGGCATCGATACTAGTACTGGTAGCAAGCGCCACAAGCGAGGATCATGGTCAACAGTTGCTGCCGCAGGTAGATACTAGCTAGCTACACAAGCGGAGTGAGAAAGGAAAAATCGCGGGTTGTGTCTTGGCATGGTCGCACTTTCGAGTTCCATAGAATTCCGCTTTTTTTCTGGGTTGGTCTCCTGTTTCCTCATCAGTTTGCTGGCTACTTGGATCCATATGACGAATACACCCAATCTACTATACCGTAGGCAGAGAGTTGCTTCGATCCGTGACAGTGGCAACAGTACCGAACACACTCAGGTTCCGCTTTACTGGCTACACTCCGTTACCGGTACATTTCATTGGATCCTTATGACGAATCCATGCACAACCGAACATTGTCAATCAGCCATCGTAGCCAGCTACCGTAGAGTCATCGATCGTGACCTGGCAACAGTACCGAACAACTCAGGTTCGACTTCGCTCGCTGCACTCGGTTACTCGCATTGGATCCTTATGAGAATACATGCACAAACCGAATATTGTAAATCCAGCCATTGTAGCCGGTTACGTATAGTTACATCGGCGACAGTGCCAACAGTACCGAACACACTCAGGTTCCGCTTTGCTGGCTACACTCCGTTGCCTGTATCTTGCATTGGATCCTTATGACGAATACATCACAACCGAACATTATGAATTCAGCCATTGTAGCCGGCTTGCGGTATAGCTACATCGACGACAGGGGCAACAGTACCGAAAGTTCGGCTTTGCTCACTACACGGTACGTACTGTCTTCGTTTGGATCCTTTACGAATACATGCACAACCGATATTGTTAATCCAGCATTGTAGCCGGCTACAGTTGCTACGTACAGTTACGTCGGCGACAGTATCAACAGTAACAAACACACTCAGGTTCCGCTTGCTGGCTACACTCCGTTGCCGGTATCTTGCATTAGATCCTTATGACGAATACATGCACAACCGAACATTATGAATCCAGCCATTGTAGCCAACTGCGGTATAGCTACATCGCAACAGTGGAAACAGTACCGAAAGTTCAGCTTTGCTCGCTACGGTTACCGGTACCTCGCGTTGGATCCTTATGACGAATACATGCACAACCGAATATTGTCAATCCAGCCATCGTAGCTAGCTACCATAGAGTTTATTGATCGGTGACAGTGGCAACAGTACCGAACACACTCAGGTTCGGCTTTGCTCGCTGCACTTGGTTACCTCGCATTGGATCCTTATGACGAATACATGCACAAAATCGAATACTGTTAATCCAGCCATTGTAGCTGGCTACCATACAGTTACATCGGCGACAGTGTCAACAGTACCGAACACACTCAGGTTCCGCTTTGCTGGCTACACTCCGTTGCCGGTTGTCGCGTCGCTCGAGGACTTGTGCATGCAGGAAAATGGGTGCCGACACAGGAATCACCACCAAATCACTAGGAAAGAACACTGGAGGGGCGAATCCTGTAGGAGGATCCACTCTCTTGTGTGTTGTCGCGTAGTAGCCTCCTCCTCTTGTTGCCATTCAATGACTCAACGAAGATCTCCTCCGTTCAGGCTGGTGATAGGGCTTGAGTTAACAGTCTTCTCCGTAGTGGCAGCCTCCTCTCCTCTTCCTGTTATCCGGAGCGACCGATCGTTCAAAAAGGACTCGACGCAATGGTAATTCATCGGCCGTCAGCAGTGCAGCAGAGAAAACAATAAATAGATGTGCTCAACTGCAGACGAACGGCGACTTACCCTTGCTTTTCAAATTGCACCAACTTGGCCATAATGGGCCGAGAACTGACTGCCATCCCATGGTCCATAGGATTCAATGAGGGATGGCTTTTGCTTCTGTACCGGAGAAGGTCGGTTTGAGTGAGGCTTGGATAATAGAGGTGCAATCGATCGATCGATTCGAATAATTAAAACAACTTACCTGTTGACGGCCGAGCTCGGAATTCTCTCCTGTTTACCATAGCAATTCAATGAGGGAGAGAAGTCAGCGCTGTACCTTCAATTAACACTCTTGATAATAGGCTTACCTTAAATCGATTCGATCGATCGGCCGATTGGATAAAGCACTCACCATGCATTGTTGTGCTGGGCCAAGCTTGGATTTACCTCCTGTTTACCATATGAATTGAATGAGAGAGAGAAGTCAGTGCTGCGCCTTCAATAATACTGTAACACACTTTTATTCCACGAATCAATCTAAAAATTTCGAAAGGGAACTTGTTACTTAACGATACACATGACCGTTGATTCTGCAACTGAAGTGCGGGTACACTAATTTACAAAGTAAATGCGGGCGAATCGATTTCAGAGTGCAACTGAGGGGGTAACCAAAAGGAGCGCCGTCTCGGGAGACGGAACAGTCCATCCTTAACCCAAAACCTTCTCAACGATCTTTTATTTTGGATCCACGGCAGACAGCAGCGACCGTGACGCAAGCCACAAGCCCTTCCAAGAAGAACTATTCTATATAAGGGGGGTTTTAGAGTAGGGAAATTATCTATGGAAGCCAGCCGGGGCCAGGCTTAAGCAAAGAACAGTCGAAATTCAGGACTAGGTTCTGTGGGATCAGGGGCAAGAAATTGAGGACCATTACAGGGGGCAAAAGGTTTGGCTTTGCGGGATCCACGGAGACATAAATGGGTAGCTTTCACAAGGGCAATTGAGATACGGGTCTGCATGAAGAACATCATTTGAGAGTGGGAAAATTGACTATTCTATGGTTTAGCCGCAACCGCAACAACGCAAAGCCTGCTGTTGCTGCCTTATTTCATTCAGCAATCGCTTCTCGAATGGCTTGTACTAGGCCGTCGCGTCCCAGCTCCGACATTGACATTGCCACTGGTGAACCTACCCCAATGAAGGAAAGCGGGAAAGGTAAGAAAGAAGTGTGGTCGGAAGAGGAAAAGAAGCAGGATGAAACTCGAGGATTGCAGGAAGGTCTCCCAGCGGCAATCCAAGGGGTCCGGTATGATGACGGTGGAGACCTGTTCAGGGCACTTGAAAAATGGGCCAATCTGATTTGAGGATTGTGCTTAGCGACCAGGGGTACGCTGTGTGGCAAGAGACGCCCGGCCCTATCCACAACTCCGCAGTCCGAAGGATTCAGAAATCATTCGAGAAATGGGAGAAAGAGCAAGGTGCAGTTTTACATGGAGAAAAGGAAGCTGATCTTTACTACATGAAAATTTCAAGAAGGACAACAAGCGTGTTGCAGATTACGCCATGGGTTTGACGTGTACGTGACCCGTCAAGGGGAACGTATTGCCAACGAGCCGACTTTCGCCTACCATGTGAATGCTGGGGAGAACGAGGATGATCTGACCATTGAAGTTGCCGCAGATGACATGGGGTTACCATCGGAAGTCAACAACTTTCAATTTCCCTTGCCAAAATTCGCAGTAGCATGGAGAAGTACGAAGTTGTTTTTGAGGCCAAGCCTGAGAGCGAGGATGAGGATTAGACCAAAATATATAAATAAATACTCGTAGTACTCAAGAACGCATTAGATGGGATCGAAGTTACTGCCTGAGAAGTCAATCACTCTTGAAGAACTTGCGGAGTTCGTCAGGAGTGTTGTCGGGTAGTTTCAGGTGCAATACACGGCTCTTAGCCTTATTCGCGACTCGATCCTAGATAGGGTTTGAGCTCTGGCTCGACTCTGACTGGGTTTCGTGATCGTCATAGAGACGGGTTCTCCAAATGACGTCTGTCTATTAGGTCGATGGTGTGACTGAGTAGTATTCTTGCCAGCGTGGAGAGTTACACGCTACTAGTAAAATGCTGAACGATACTTCCGCGTTTTTTATTGATCGTGGGTTGGCTAGGTTGTCACACTACTCTTCACTTGTCGGGTTGTTACGTCTTTTATATATGGTCTTCTGTTTGTGTTATTTAGACTTTCTATTTATACTTTAATTCTCATACTGGATTTTACACTAGCTTTTGCGCTGTGTTTGTTACAAACAATGGTTTCAGTCCTCACCTTTCTCTGAGATTAGCAAGGGTAGCTTCGATGTCTAGTGCGGAACACCTTTCTATTCCGGCGTGATAATGCAGAAATGCGTTCTCGCTCACATACATTTGATGATTTCGAGTGTGCCCGGCAAGTCCTCCAAGGTCAATCTCATGGTCTGCTCCAGTGAATAGTGGTGAGTATGGAGCGAGTCTTGTCAGGGTCGCCATTGCTAAGCTGCCGGTCACTAGCTCTAAGGAGTGTTCTGCCTTGCAAGGCCGTTCGAATGCTGTGGTGCAGTGTGAATTACGTTGGAATGCTTTGCGGCAGATTGCAGTCACGCGATTGGCTCCGCCGAAGATACGTGCCGGTGGGACGAGCAATTCAGACGTTCCAGGTGCTGGCGGGCGTAGCTCTGTTTGGCGACTGACTTGTTTGGTATGTGGTGGCTTGTCGAGTGGTTCCTGTATACAGGCTGTTGGATAGCGAAACGTTCAATGCGCGCAGAATGCGTGCTGCAGTGTATTGCTCACGGGCTTATGTCACACTCAGTCGACGATATAATTACAGCGAATGATTCTCTCTCCCTTTGGACAACAAGATGACTTGACTCCAGAGTAAAGTTGACTTGATTGTGTCCATGGTTCAAACAGTGGGAATAGAGAGATGGACGGAAACGATTTCTCCATATGTACTATAATCGGGAAAGATACCGATTTGGATTCTAAAAAAAGCGACGCATGGAATCCTCCAGAGACTTTGACAAGGGCGTTGATGGTACCAGCATAGAATTCAAGAACACAGAGAGTAACAAGATCCACTGCTACAACG